ATGGTCCCAAACCACTGCTGCCCTGAACTGAACCATCACTCAGAACAGACCTTTCTCAGACCACGCCCACTGAATCTAGTGTGCTGGACCACAGAAACCACCAAAACGTGCTTGATACCGGCCCTCGAGGCCCGGACTTGAATAGCCCTGCTTTAGACTTTTCCCTGGAAATAGACTTCTGAGGGCTTCGCAGTGGTTAGAGCTGTTGCCTTGCAGCAAGATGGTCCTGGGTTCAACTCCCAGCCTGGGATCTTTCTGGATAGAGTTTGCATGTTCTCCCTGTGCATGCGTGGGTTCCCACCGGGTACCCCGGCTTCCTCCCACAGTCCAAAAACATGACTGTCTGGTTGACTGGTCCCTCTAAATTGTCCTTAGGTGTGTGTGCGTGCTTGATTGTTAGTCCTGTGTGTTTCTGTGTTGCCCTGCAGGGTGTACCCCGCCTGTTTGCCCAGAGACTGCACGAGACAGGCACCAGCCCCTCATGACCCTGCATGGACAGGCGGGTTATAGAAAATGGATGAATGGATGGATTTTTGACTTTTATGTTGAAATGATGAAGCTTTTTTCTCTTGAAATAATATTTAGTTTTTAAACAATGTTTTGACTTTTTGCTTTAAAAATTGATTTTAATATCAATTCATCCTCCATCTTTAACACTGGGTGTCGCTAGTTTGCTGTTGTAAAACAACTAAAGTCATTGGTAATGTTTTAAAACTTACATTATGACCGTATTTTAAAACAAACTGGTGTGGTTATTTTAGTGGGTTTTAGGAATGGTTGATCATGTGTCACTGAGCAAATAGAAAAATATTTATTAGCAAAAAATACTAGTAATAATATTAGAAGTTTAGAACTAAAAAATAACTTTATTTAAAGGGGCATTATGGAAGTTTGACAGCCAAAACATGTATAGAAATAATACATTTCTTCTTCATACATTCTCCTGCAATGCCCTGGTCCTGTAGAATGAGCCCTGGCATTTTTACTGTGATTGCCTGTTTTTCTGTAAAATCACAGAAAAAGAGAGATGCTCGGGTCGAGCAGGCTGCTTCATGCGCGTTCACGCTCAGGCATAGCCCGTAGCATTTGCTATCCGTAGCTTTAGCAGCAGAGAGAGAGGCAGTGCCACTTTGTCGCTCTTCCTAACCCCTAGTGACAAAGCTAGCTACATTTCTGAGGACCCATATGTAGAACTTTCTTCTAGATATTTCCTGCAAATTAGCAACAAAATAGCCATTTTCGCTTCGAACCGTTCTTTGGACGTTGTTTCAGCTGTCATCAAGGATATAAAAGTTACAGATACTGTGAATGTACTAGAGTGTAGCTCACCTTGTAAGATGTCTGACTCTCATGCAGAAGACCTGGGTTTGATTCTGGATGTGAAAATAGTTCATTTAGAGGTTCTTTTTTACATTAATGGTATATTTTTTTTACAGTAAGATGCCCAAATTTTTATTTGAGACTCGCCGAACGGCATTGAACTCACAGATAAAAAAGATGTGGGTTCAACTTTCATTTTGGAACAATTTTTCAAGCAAGGGAAGGGAATGATCTGAGCATGCAGGAGGACTGACCCATCATAAACCTTTGTCGGCTGTGCTGAAGAGAAAGGTACAGAACCAAATTATTTAATTAATTAGCTGCGTGTTCTCCTGTACTCTGGGCCACACACACACACACACACACACACACACACACACACACACACACACACACGGGACTGTCTCAGTTGTTATTTTCGTTAAGGAGTGTGCACGTACAGCATGCGCGCCTCGTGCACGAGCCTACTATTGAAGCTGCCGTTACGCTTTTGGCCTGAGGGGGCAATCGCGAGCATAAAAATTCAAAACTACATAAAGTCCCTTTAATAAGATACATTGTGGTAAATGGTGTATTGCTTGTATTTGTATAGTGCCTTCTCAGGGTTCTACAACTCCCCAAGGTGCTTTACAACACAATCAGTCATTCACCCATTCACAAGCTGGTGGGGAAAAGTGTCTTGCCCAAGGACACAACCTAATTTTCTAGTTAGAGCCAGGATAGAACCTGCAACCTTCCAGTTACTGAACAACCTACTTAACCTCTTGAGTGACGGTGGGAGGGTTAAGGAGTCTGAACTGTATCAGCTTTGTTCCGCAGGAACCGTTTACTGTGTCAGCGTCAGCGTGTGACAGCTTGTCAAGAGATGCGGTGTTTAGAGTTTTCCCCCGGTGGCCAGACCGCAGTTCTGCTCAAAAACTAACTGAATCACTCAGCAAGTTTCTGTTTTAATATTCCCACATTATCATTACCTGGCCAATCGGGACGTGCCATGTTAAGAGGTGTTAAAAAACAACCATCAGAACATCACGCCTTCTTTCGGATAGAAGGTTCTCTGATTTGTGGGTAAGAACATATCTATGTGCATGAAATTACATTAACTTTACCATCTCGTCTTGTGTATAAGTGTATGGCTAATAAGCTTGTCCAGTCACGTACGCTGGTTATCAGACAAATGGATCATTGCAGGACAATATTCATTTCAACCTTATTAGCTTAGGCACAGATTAATCAAAACATCTCATTTAACACATTGTTCATTTCATTTCATGATTAATTAACTCATATGAGCTGAAAATGTTCTTTTATTCAGAGGCAGGAGGAATCCTGTAGAAGCGATAAGGGGAAGCTCAAGGCCGTTCCTGTGTTCAGAGCTGCAGAGTCTTCTGGCTTGTTGGGAGATAGAATTTAAAATCCACTTTAGAGGATGGAATAATGTCTGTAGATGACCGGTGGCATGCAGATCAATATGTAGGTGAAAACTAACCATTTCTGGACGTTACACCACAGAAATCAACGGTGTTCTCAAGCAGAAGAAGAGGGCTCCTGTCCTGTGACCCTGCTCTTGTCCTGCTACGATAGGTACCTCTGTACCATCCTTCAGCCCAGCAGCCTTTTTTAGCCACTGGTAGGACCTGTGGACATCAGCCACTTTGTTGATTTACTTGTGCCACATGTCATACTTAGCCTTAAGCCTATCGGGACGACATGCAATGACATTATCCATCCTTTCGAGGGCTCTCCAGCAGACTCGCAAGGACGGGTGGAGTAGAGCTCTCTTTCCTAAACACCCGTCCGACGAGACGGAGAACGCAGGCTTGTGATTGGTCAGGACACAGCTGTAGCCTCAAAAACATAAAGAAAGCCAAAGATATCTAGCGGCAGACCCGAAGAAGCTTGAAGAATACCTCGTGGAAAAACTCTATATGTTTTATTCACCCGTGACTGGAGGAGTGAAAAAATGCGCAGCAAGCATTTTATTCGTGGATGGAAATGACGGGAAACATGGGTTTAGAGATGGTGAGCGCATGAAGAGTTGGAGGAGAATAAGGGATACAATTGTCCGTGTTAAAAAGCAACTGAAAAACCAAAAGCACAATGTAAACACAATGGTAAATGCACTATGTTGGACCAGATACATGTACCCAGAACAGCTACGCCCTGTTTTCCTGTCCATGCTTTGCAACACTCCCCAGGAGACGGGGAACTCCGAAGGCAAAACATCTCTGTGCATGTCCCTCCCTCGTGGAGCTGACAGAGAAGTGCAAATTAGGCTTTATTCATCCATCATGGTTCCTATTATCTTCCACACTGGGTTTCAGCAATTCACCACGTGAATGTCAAATGGATGAGTGACTAATAGTAGAGCATAGTCATTTCAGATGGTTGTTTCAAAAATTGGTTGCAACCTGAAATTGTATGGATACCCCTGCTTAGGGACATATATTACGCCAATTTGCCTTCAAATGCAAAAAGCAAAGCTTTAAGATTCTGAGAACAATTTTTATTTGACCACATCTTAACCCTACAAGTGGGCACACTTTTGTTTCTTGAGTCAGAAATGCCGATCTAATTTTCATACCATTAAAGCTGGTGTCTGGAGTTTTCCCCTTTCAGGAATTATGCATGATTCTTCACAAATCCACAAAAGTGATTGTCTTATCATGTGCTGAGATATAATGTAGGAAATACATATATACATTTTTGCTAAGGCCGCCCCCGTCCCATAGAGCTCAATGCAATATGTACTGAGTGCTGGTCAGCACTAACCAACAGTGTTATGGGCTCGATACATGGGAGGCGACATCCTCCTGATAATCGCGGGTCTCCTCCTACCAAGCGAAAAGCGAAAAACGTGCGTGTGAAATTTAGCACTCGTGCATGTGTCGTGCACAGGCGACCCTGCAACGCGATCCCAGAAAGTTGAAATATTTTCAGCTTTTCATCTAGGACCAATCAACGGAGGTTTCATTCACTGACCAATGAGCGGATAGGATGCTCCGTACATCTCCGAGCAAACATGGAGGAGAAGTTGATGCTTGCTGTGCCGGATTTCCCAGAACTGTACTCAGGTCCAACTCTTTCAGACATGAAGGGTTTTTATTGAGAGCGGACACCAGAGAAGCACAGCCTTCATCTGTGATACGACACCCTGAGAGCCTATAGGAGTACAAAACAACACAGATATTCTGACAGAAGTACTTCAAACTATAATGTCTGGATGAATAAAGAGAAAGAAATCGGCCCTATGCCTTGTCAGATACAAAACCATATACATTTTAATGACACGCTTGACACATTCCCCAACCGCTTTGGGGTGGACCAGGCGCTGATGAATGAGCTTCTGGGAACATCCCGAGTCAAGGAAACCAGAAAGGGGTCTTTGACTCTGGTCCGTGCGGGTCTCGTCATTCTAGGCCCTCGGTGGATTTCGCTGGCGCATGTGTCCCGACGCCCTACACTTCCAGCAGTAGCGCTGTGTGGTCTGTGTCAGGGCTAATGGGGTTTGTATGGGATTAGATTTGTGCCAATAGGATCAAGAAAAAACACTTTGGAGATCAAACAAATTTTAAGACATTGAGAGAAAAAAAATTTGTTTCAAAAGAAAAAATTACCATCTGAGTCACTTTCTGCTACAGACATAATAAAAGTGAAGTGCTTAACAGTAACGTGAACAAAAGCAAGTTATGCAAACAGCTTTATTACACCTAAAGAAATAAACGAGACAGCAGTAATCATTGAGATTACATACACATGTATAAGTCATTAAGCATAATAATCTGATGCTCCTGAGAATGCGGACCAGAGTCACATTCATTGGCCTTTGAGATTTTCACTTTCCCTTTCCACACTGGACCACATCCAAAATGTATGGAATTAGATTTGTGCCAATAGGATCAAGAGAAAACACTTTGGAGATCAAACAAATTTTTAGACATTGAAAGAAAAAAATTCGTTTCAAAAGAAAAACTTACTGAGTCAGATTCTTAAAATGATCAAGAAAAACACTTTGACAGTCAAACAAAAATTAAGAAATTGACAGAACAAAAATATTGACTAAAGGAAAAAAAAAGTTTCTGATTGGATGAGTAAGCAATGTGCCGTGCGTTTACATTATGTATATCAGTGTGTCTAGTGCAGCTAGATTAAAGTCATATTACTTATTAAAGCATATTAATCATAACATTGTCATTTCGGACATTATATTATTGACTAACACTTTGTTTGATTAGCTTTATTAAAAATAGAGTTCTTTGATTTATTAAAAGGAAAGTCCTTTGTCTTAATTCTTCTCTTGAGCTGGAAAGAAGCAGTTTAGAAGCAAATGCATGACCTTGAGACAGTCTCATGCAGATTAGTCGTGTGTCAGAGGCATCTGTGTGGAGAGGGTAAATAACCTGGAAGAGGTCCTTCATCACGTTACACAGGGCTCTCTCTCGTATATTTTATTGAGTTTTATAGATTTTGGGTGTACACAACTGAGTATTTCTCTTGCAACTCAATGAAGACAAACGGAGGAAGCTGGTTTTAGCATGAATCCAGGATAAAGAGTTTCGGTGAATGTGGTGTTGAAGGTGTGGAGGTGGATCAGTGAGTCAGAGGAGACTTTGTAGAAGGACAGAATGCCAGCAGGACAGTCCACATAGACTGCTACTCTGTGAGAGACGGAGGAGATGATGGGTTCCTTTTTGTTGTTGTGCCAAACAGAGAAACTAGAATCAGAACACCTCAAACTCCACGAGTGATCGTTCTGCCCAAACATACAGCCGAGACTTTCTCTTTTCCTGTTGACTCCTCCGTAACTCACTGATACATCTACTCTTCCTTTCCACTCAACCTCCCAGTAACAACGACCAGTTAGGCCGGTTTTACACAACAGCTGAGGCTTTACATCGAATCTGTCTGGGTGATCAGGGTACGTCTGAAGTTCCTCCCCATGTGCCACCATCTGGTTGTTGTGAGACAGTTTGAGTTTTCTGCTTACGGTGTCCGCGTCGATCGTGAGTTGATGAGAATCTGGAGGAAAACAAACGACCCAGTTGTAATTCGTCACACTTTAATGATGATTCATGGATGAGTGATGGGGCAGTTTAAATGTGAGGATCTAACGAGAAACACACTTACACTTCCTCAGACCTGGTGTCAACCATCGTTGTCCAGCAGGCTCCACCCTGGAAGGAGGCGAGTGTGTGTCATTCTCTTTAAGCATGAAAACGCAGACATCACATTGTTCTCAAGACCTTTTCAGAAGGCAGTTAGAGTAGGCCTACTCAACACGTTGATCCCCACTGACCAGCCCAGATGTAGCGTACCAAATGGCCGAGTATTTAATCAAAATGACCAGAAGTCAAGAATTTGACTTGCAGGCACGAACTGTGCCACACGTCCTGACACATCATAACTGTCCTGGTCTCCAAACCTGGGAGCTTTCTTCAGCTGAATGAAGATAAGACTGAGATCCTCATCTGTGCCCGAGACAAGCTGGTTCCCAAAGTCAGAGAATCTCTTGGTCAGCTTGCTTCTCACACCAAACCTTCCGTCAGGAATCTTGGCGTGACCTTTGACCCAGCTCTCACCCTGGATTCTCGTTTCAGTTCTCTTGTTCGCTCTTCCTTCTTCCATCTCAGGAACGTTGCTAAGCTGAGTTCCATTCTGTCTCGCTCTGAACTTGAGACAGTTCTCCACACCTTCATCTCCTCACGCTTAGACTACTGTAACTCTCTTTTCACGTGTCTGAGCAGAACCTCCCTGAACCGTCTACAGGTGGTTCAGAATGCCTGTGCTCTGGAACTCTCTCCCCCTGAGCCTGAGATCAGTGGACTCGGTGGTCTCCTTTAAGAAGCAGCTGAAGACTCACTTGTTCAAGCTGGCTTTTGTGTGACCTTCTTCACCACTCTCTCTTTATTCTGCTCTCCCCACCTATTTCACCTTCCTCAGGATCCACTGATTTCCCTCTTTCCTGTTCACTCTCTCTCTTTCTTAACTTTTTTTAATCACAATTGTGTATTTTTGCTCATTTTAAATATATTTTAAAACATTTTCTAAATGCTTTTTTATATTTTTACATTTTTTGTTTTTGTGAAACGCCTCGTGATTTTTATCTTGAGAGGCGCTATAGAAATGATACTTTCTTCTTCTTCTTCTGTAAACATACTGCTCTAAGACCTGGTTGCCAAGAAGGGACGCCATAATAAACCCTCCTCCTGAATCCCTTTATCTCAGCTGAAACCAAGCTGGCAGAAGACGAGACCTTCACTCTCTGAATAAAGTTCATCTTCGCTGAATCATGAATGACTTTACGTGTTTATAGGTTGATATAATCAAATGTTTTTGAATGAACAAGATGTTTAAATTCAAAGTGTTTTAATAACGTGTACGTTAATCAATGATGGGCTAAAATGAATATTTTTCCTGCAATGATTCATTTCAGGTCTTAAATGACACCAGATTAATTTTTGTTGATTTAATAATTTAGGCCTATTCCACACGTAGCCGGGGTTGTTTAAAAACAAATATCCGCCCCTCCAAAAACTTGCATCCACACCACCGCGTTTAAAAAAAAACTGTGTCCACACGTACCCGGATAAATACGTTGTTAAGGACATGCCAGACCTGTAGGCGGCAGTACTTCCCCCGTTCTTAACCTCGTCCTTCGTCTGTGGTCTTCCGCAAGGAGCAGTAATTCTGCTTTCAAAAACAAACAAGCAAAAAGCGCTTGGACAATTGATAAAGCGAGCGCAGCTCTGAGGGCATCCATGCTGTCAGCTAGTGTAAACACAGGTCGCACACGTGATGTCAGCATTTTTTTGTCGCGGAAAGTGACGTTGCGGACCTTAAAACTCCGGTTTTGTCCGTCCACACGCAGATACCCAAAACGGAGAAAACGCAGATCTTCACTTTGGCCGGAGTTTTTAAAAAGATCTGTTTTCGTGTGAAAAAACTCCGTTTTCGTGTGGATGACAGGCCAAAACGTAGAAAAATATCTACGTTTTGGCAGATCCCCGGCTACGTGTGGACAGGGCCCTAATCTCAATATATTCACACCTCGTAATAATAGCTGAATTAATGTTTTAACAAGAATGAACCCCTAATTATCTGAGTGAAGGTGTGATTCTCTGAGGTCTTTGGTAATGTTTTTTAAACTTGTCAAATCCTGACTTGTCTAAATTTATTTTTAAAAAAAGTTGATTGTTTGCATTAAAAAAAATAAATAAAAAGTCAGAGCTCTGCAACATCCTGGACTCTTGCTTTTTCTTCTGTGGACAAACAGCTGGTAACATCCTGAGTGAGTGACAAGGCAGAGGTTCTGTCTGAGCCCAAAACCTTACACATCCATTGTCTGTTATCTATACAACCAGCATTTCATTCATATTTTGTTATGTATACTCACTTAGTTTAGGAAAAATAGAATTAAATTCATTTTTATCCACTATATTCTTGACCCTGTCTGAATTAAGATGGTGTGTGTTTCCTGAATAGTCAAAGAACCTAGAGTTAGGGCTGCACGATATTAGGAAAACCTGCGATATTTGATAACAGTGATTAATATTGCGATGACGATATTACTTGCGATTAGGGCTGCAACAAACGATTATTTGGATAATCGATTAATCGGATGGGGTCTCGACACGATTAATCGATTAATCGGATTACATGGGGAAATTTTTAAAAACTGCTAGGGAAACGTTATTTCTCTCCTTCCTTCACTTTATTTAACACAACATTATTAGAAAACAGTTCAATAGCAGAAAAACAACATGCCATCACCTAAATTGTCTTATAAGGTGTATAGACAGAGACCCTAAGCTACATCTATCTGTGACCTAAAATGCTTGGTCCAAGTTAAACAGCTTAAGGGCAATTCTCATCTGTTTTGTTTGATCTCATCTGTTGACATTTATTTTAAATGTAATTAAACTTAGGCTGTGAATTAATCAAAATTGATCACTATTTCCAAAAATGACTGAAAAAATACCAAATAAAACAAAAGTAAATGAATGCCATTCTCCTTGCGATGATGCCCTGGACAATTGCCATAAAGTCACATCAAGAAATGCTGCTGATCATTCCAATGATCCCAAATAGACTCACATTAGGCCACATGAAAGCAACTGAACCCAAAAATATATTAACCAGTATATAACTGCACTCTCACACAACACGCCTGCAGCAACAGTTAGGACTCCTCCCTCCCTTTTAAAAGCGTTTTTGCTTCCGAGGACATTGTGGTTGTAAATCCACATGCTAGTAGTCTGGCCCCGGTGTGATCAACCAGTTTCTGCGGGAATGTGACGGCGGAACCAGGGCCAGATTAACACTTTGTTGTACCCTGGGCAACAATATTCAAGGGCTCCATCATCACGACCCAAGGATCACCATAATGTGGTCACATACAGAATATTTTACTGTAATATGCAGTAAATATACTCAATACTTGAATGCCTGACAACACGTAACCCGCCCAGAGTAACCTTTGACCCACCTCGTGTGGACTGACCAATGAGGAGAGGGTCTTAACTTGAGGCCCTCTCTTCATTGGTCAGTCTGCATAAGACTTACTCTCAACTGACATTCGAAGTCATAGGCAGCAAAGCGTCTCTGTGCAGCGCAAAAGCCCGGGTGGACAGTTTGTTTAATGTAGGGTGATCATATTTCCATTTCCAAACAAGAGGACAGGGGATCTGTGCCTATGATGTCACACTATGGCAACGCCACACAAACCATGTTGGGACCCATTTTTTGTAAGAACTAAATTAATATCAGATTCTGCCAATAAAAGGGCTCTAAAACAATTCATATGTAAATATTTTGCATATTTAATGCAAAATCTCATTTTTCTGCTTTAGTGCTGCAACAAGGTTTTATTAATAAGAAATTATTATACCTTTTGTTTTACTACAGCATCGGTAAGCTTCCTGTGCACAGATTATTAAGGATGCTTGTTTCAGCTGTGAGATTAGACGATAGGATCAATGAAAAAATAAGTTGTCACACACTCCATGGAAACTTTCAGATAATCCACAAATAGTGGCTTTCAAATGGTTTTGTTACTTTTTGCAAGTTTAGAAAAGAAGCTGATGAGACAGCATGTCTGATAATTTAGTTTTTCATCTGATAATATTAGAACATGTCAGTAATGTCTGAGGGGCTTTTATAAACACTGTATAACTAACACTCCTGGAGAGGGCATGAATTACACAGAGGCTTCTGGGGAGCCCAGTTATTGGGGGGGGGGGAGAGAGACATTTTGCCTTGGCCCCCAAAATGTCTTGAAACGGCCCTGGGTGTGTGACTGAGTTTTGAAGGTGATCTGAATTGTATCAGATGTATAAATATTACATGTGTATAACTTATTGTTTTTTACTGGTAAAAACGTGTCGTGGAGATAAATCTACCTACATTTTACTTTGTTTTCTTGTTTTTATTTAACTATTTTCCTGTCCTGTCTGTCTCTCATCTTCCTGCATCTCCTCATAATTCTCCAGAAAATCTGTTGCCTGGATTCTTACCTTTTCACCTCATCAGTTACTTTTGAGCAGATCAAAGAGATCTCCTGACCGCAAAGCGGAGAGTGCGTTTTCGATGCTGCGTGAGGTGAAATCACCACAGCACAGGTGATGAGCTCCGCAGCAGAGCGCTTCAGGCACAAATAAGACAGAAAATAGAGAACATGTGCAGACAAGAACGATCGTGTGCTAATTATAGTTTTTTGGTTGCGCCACTTTGAGAATGGACCGTGCGCTGGAAGCAGCTGCCTGGATCGCTGTGCAACAATGCGGAACCGGTTCGCAGCAGCGCAAGTCTGCAGGCTCTCCCTCGCGCTGATCTGCGGCTCTCCCTCGCGCTGATCTGCGGCTCTCCCTCGCGCTGATCTGCGGCTCTCCCTCGCGCTGATCTGACTTGCTCTGGTCTGCGCGCAACGGTGGGCGGGAAGGGGGGGGGGGCGCTTTTGGAAGAGTTGTGCGACACAACGAATCGATGACGCAATTCGTTGCCAACGCTTTTAGTAATTGATTTTCATCGAATTCATCGATTCGTTGTTGCAGCCCTACTTGCGATAAATACAAACTTAACTCAGGAACAGAAATAATCAAAAACAAAGAAATAAAAAAAAATCATAAAAATGAGAAAAGCAAAAGATGTGAGGAAAGAGAAAAAGAAAATGAACAAGAAAAGGCAATCAGTGGATCCCAGGAAAAGCAGAATCAGCAGAAAGAGCAGAACTAAGCTAACTCAGGTGTTTGCTAACCATCAAAGTTATGGCATCTAACCTATGACAACCCGCCCAATTGGCCAAATGGGTGAAGAGCTTTATTTCATTTGTTAAAAAACATCATGCTTCCGTTTGATTGACAGAATGCATTATGTGTAGCAAACATTTGAGCTGACCGTTCATTGTGATATTTATCTGTTCTTTGCGATATGCATATTGTGCATGCTGATATCGCGATAACGATATATTTACGATATATTGTGCAGCTTTACCTAGAGTAATCTAATTCTCACATTCAAAGATCAATCAGATTCGTGTTTAAATGGAATGTCACGTCTTATTGATCACTTAAATACTGTAGCTCAGAGGTAGGCAACCCTGGTCCTAGAGAGCAGCAGTCCTGCATGTTTTCCAGCTATGCATGAACTTGCAGCTTCTAATTGGCTGAACACACCTGATCCAGGTAATCAACCGCAGGAACAACAAAGATAGTTGGAAAACAAGCAGGACTGCGGCTCTCTGGGACCAGTGTTGCCTACCCCTGCTGTAGCTAATTCTCACCGCTACATTAATGGCGAGCCTTTTCAAATCATAACACTTCAAATTAGTTACATACTTTCAAAAGGGAGTGGATGTGTTCATTTGTGTGTTTCTTTCTTTCTTTGAGTTATTGAGTAGAGGACGCTCTAAACCCGACTTTATAACCAAAAAAGCTAAAATCCTAAAGACGATGGATCACCCGTGTTTTTATTCCCAACCAATGACACATTCTTGGCGAAGCAAATGTGGTTTTACAGTTTGAAACTTCCAGATCCTCTTCGGTTCTGAAGCTGTTTTTCCATCTCGAAAGGCTGTTAACCAGAGTGCTCTTTTATGCCACATTATACCCGTAAAAGCTAACGGCAGATTCTAGCTTTACATTGCGGAAGGCAAGCACAACGTGAATTTCGTGTGCATGCATTATACCGGCAAATTAAAACGGGAGCCTTGGTACCAAAGGTCTACTATAGTCGAAGGGTTTATTTTATTTGAACAATTAACCCCTTAGCATCCCAGCGTTCCGCCCATGGGACAAAACCCCATTGCGTTCATTAAACCTGGAAATTTAAGGAGTTAAACAGGGCTTCCAAGCTGACCAGCTAACGTAGCATAGCTAACGCTAAGCACGTGGAGATAACGCCGCTGAATCTACTTCAAGGTGTCTTTATCTACCGTCACAGCGAAGACTGTGAATCAACTCTAAATCCCTTCGGGGTACAGTTTGGCGAATCAAACCACTGAGTTTGAACCTCTAACATAAAAAAACAGACATCATCACTCTTCTAAAGACTCCACGTTGGAACTTTCAACATTGACAAAGACGAGGAAGTGACACCATTGTCACTTCTTCTCGAATTATTTATGAAACATTAAAAATAAGTTTTCAGATCATCTAAAAAGGTGCCGAGAACAAACATGATAACACTTTCAGTTTCAAACAAATAATGTTGAATCAGTGTGTAAAAAAGAAATTCAATGTGTGGTAAAAGCAGGCCTCTCCATACTCAAGAGTTTCCAGGCTCCAGTTTGGATCGTCTCGCCTAGAAGTCAATGATGCTCTCCTCCCTTCTCCTAGATGATTGTAGCTCAGGTCCAGCTTTTTCAGACGTGTGAGGTTTTCGTCGAGAGCTAAGACCAGAGAACCACAGCCTTCATCTGTAATCTGACACCCTGAGAGCCTGTAGAAATACAAAATAACGACAAAACCACATCATACTTTGACGATCGAGTAAATGACAGAAACCATGCCAATGCCTTGTCAGGCACTAAATCAGGTATTCCATCATAGAATACCTGGTTTGAAATCTTTACTGACATGAAGCTTCAACAGAAACACCAGGGGCTTAGGTACATATGAAGCACCTTTTCCCATACTTGCCAGTGTTTGTCCTGAGGACGTTTATATTTCAGATCACCATTGCATTTCCTTTAGCTTGTTAGTTTCTGCGTCCCCACCTCCTGCTCGCCGTATGGTCAGTTCTCGTTTTCTTAATGAGAGCACAGCTAGCAATTTTTCTGCTGCTTTTGTTCCACCCTGTTCTTCTGATAACGACCCAGATTCCTTAACTTCTCAGTTTAACAAGCACTGCCTCTCCATTCTGGACAACATCTGTCCTGTCAGAACCAGATCAGTTCCTGCAGTGAACCCTACTCCCTGGTTTAATGACAGCCTTCGCAGCCTGAAGCGCCAATGCAGAAAAATGGAGCGTTTTGTGGAATTGGGGCCCTGTGGGGGGTACTCCAGGAGTATGGGGTACCAGGCCCTCTGATACGGGCTGTTAGGTCCCTGTATGACCGGTGTCAGAGCTTGGTCTGCATTGCCGACAGTAAGTCGGGCTCATTCTCAGGCAGAGTTGGACTCCGCCAAGGCTGCCCATTGTCACCGATTCTGTTCATAACCTTTATGGACAGGATTTCTAGGTGCAGCCAAGGTGTGGAGGTCATCCGTTTTGGTGGCCTGAGGATCAGGTCTCTGCTTTTTGCAGATGATGTGGTCCTGTTGGCTTCATCAGAACGTGGTCTTCAGCTTTCGCTGGAGCGGTTTGCAGCCGAGTGTGAAGGAGCTGGGATGAGAATCAGCTCCTCTAAATCTGAGAACATGGTCTTGATTCAGAAAAGGGGAGAATGCCTTCTCCGGGTCAGGAATGAGGTCCCGCCCAAAGTGGAGGAGTTTAAGTATCTCGGGGTCTTGTTCACGAGTGAGGGAAAACTGGAGTGTGAGATCGATAGGCGGATTGGTGCTGCATCTGCATTGATGCAGGCATTGTACCGGTCTGTTGTGGTGAAGAGAGAGCTGAGTCAGAAGGCAAAGCTCTCGATTTACCGGTCGATCTACGTTCCTACCCTCACCTATGGGCATGAGCTTTGGGTAGTGACCGAAAGAACGAGATTGCGGATACAAGCGGCCAAAATGAGTTTTCTTCTATGAGTGGCTGGGCTCTCCCTTAGAGCTAGGGTGAGAAGCTTGGCCATTCGGGAGTGGCTCGGAGTAGACCCGCTGCTCCTCCACATCGAAGAGGAGCCAGTTGAGGTGGCTCGGGCATCTGGTCAGGATGCCTCCTGGACGCCTCCGAGGTGAGATTTTCCAGGCACGTCCAACCGGGAGGAGACCTAAAGGTAGACCCAGGACACGGTGGAGGGACTATGTCTCTCACCTGACCAGGGAGTGCCTTGGGATTCTCCCGGAGGAGCTGGCCCAAGTGGCTGGGGAGAGGGAAGTCTGGGCCTCTCGCCTTAGGCTGCTGCCCCCGCGACCTGACTCCGGATAAGCGGATGAAAAATGGATGAATGGATAGAAAAACTAGTGGGGCTTGACCTGAGAGTTTCCAGCTCACAGTGTGCGTTCTTCAAACCATCATTCAATCCAAGACACAGCTGCTTCACTCCTGAGTCTCCGACGTCATTGTTACTCAGGTCCAGCTCCGTCAGATTACAGAAGTGGGAACCGAGAACTAATGACAGAGCCTCACAGCTTTTCTCAGCCAGATTACAGCCGCTCAATCTGAAGGAAAAAAGAGAAAATGTCATTTCTTATATCGTTCAAAGAAAAGATATCTTATGAAATAGTGACTTTACCCAAATACCTGTGCACTTACATAGCTTTGTTTGACGCTTTGACCAATGGCAACAACTTTAGAAAAGCTTCCTCTGAATTTGAGTATTTCTTCAGGTCAAACACATCCAGGTCTTGGTCTGATGACAGTAAGATGAAGACCAGAGCTGACCACTGGGCAGGAGACAGGCTTTCTGCTGAGAGACTTCCTGAACTCAAAGACTGTTTGATCTCCTCCACTAGAGAAACATCATTCAGTTCATTCAGACAGTGGAACAGGTTGATGCTTTTCTCCGTGGACGGATTCTCACTGATCTTCTCCTTGATGTACTGGATTGTTTTCTGATTGGTCTGTGAGCTACTTCCTGTCTGTGTCAGCAGGCCTCGTAGGAGAGTCTGATTGGTCTGCAGTGAAAGGCCCAGGAGGAACCGGAGGAACAAGTCTCTGTGTCCATTTGGACTCTGCAAGGCCTTGTCCACAGCACTCTGGTAAAAGAGTGTCTCTGCAGACTCACTTTTTCTTGTTTTAGACTCTTGGGAAGTGGTTTGCTGTTCTTCAAGGAGATTGACTCCAGACTTGCTGAAGGTCAGATGGACGTGAAGAGCTGCCAGAAACTCCTGAACACTCAGATGAACAAAGAAGAAGACCTTGTCCTGGTACAGTCCTCTCTCTTCTTTAAAGATCTGTGTGAACACTCCTGAGTGAACAGAGGCTGCTCTGACATCGATGCCACACTCTGTCAGGTCTGACTCATAGAAGATCAGGTTTCCTTTCTCCAGCTGATCAAAAGCCAGTTTTCCCAGAGACTCAATCATCTTCCTGCTCTCTGGACTCCAGGGTGGATCTGTCTCGGCTCCTCCATCATACTTGACCTTTTTCACTTTTATCTGAACCACCAGGAAGTGGATGTACATCTCAGTCAGGGTATTGGGCACCACTTCCTGCTGTCTAGTTTTCAACATGTCCTCCAGAACTGTAGCAGTGATCCAGCAGAAGACTGGAATTTGGTACATGATGTGGAGGCTTCGTGATGACTTGATGAGGGAGATGATCCTGCTGGCCTGCTCCTCATCTCTGAATCTCTTCCTGAAGTACTCCTCCTTCTGTGGGTCAGTGAACCCTCTGACCTCTGTCACCATGCCAACACACGCAGGAGGGATCTGATTGGCTGCTGCAGGTCTTGTGGTGATCCACAGGCGAGCAGAGGGAAGCAGGTTCCCCTTGATGAGGTTTATCAGCACAACATCCACTGAGGTGGACTTCGCAGGGTCAGTTAGGATCTGGGTGTTGTGGAAGTCCAGAGGAAGTCGACACTCATCCAGACCAATCAAAATGAACACAACCTGGAACTCTTCAAAGCTCCAGATTTCTTTGGTTTCAGTAAAGAAGTGATGAACAAGTTCCACCAAGCTGAACGTCTTCTCCTTCAGCAGATTCAGCTCTCTGAAGGTGAACGGCAACATGAAGTGGATGTTCTGGTTGGCTTTGTCTTCAGCCCAGTCTAGAACGACTTTCTGTGTCAAGAGCTTTTTCCCGATGCCAGCCACTCCCTTTGTCATCACTGTTCTGATTGGTTCGTGTCTTCCGGGTGGGAGTTTAAAGATGTCTTCTTGTCTGATTGTTGTTTCTGGTCTGGCTGCTTTCCTGGATGCTGTTTCAATCTGTCTGACCTCATGTTCATCACTGACCGCTCCAGTCCCTCCCTCTGTGATGTAGAGCTCCGTGTAGATCTGGTTCAGAAGGGCTGGGTTTCCTGCTTTAGCGATCCCCTCAAACACATACTCAAACTTTTGCTTCAGACGAGATTTAACTTCACGCTGGCAGACTGCAGCAAGAGTTTCTGACACAACAAACATCAGAAGTTCATGAGTACTTTGAATGCACCATGTCATCACTGAAAAGCTGCCGTTGTTCAGGCAGTTTAAGTTTTTGAGAAATCTTACTTTTTTGCAGACGATCTGCCAGTTTATCCTGCCCGATTTCCCTCAGAAAACGCACTGTGATGTTTACCAATGCCTCCCTGTTGCTCCTCTGGTCTTTGTTCTCACACATCCGCTCATCGCCTACCTTGCCACTACCTGCGCATTCTGCGACATCTGCACTCAGAACCATCTTTATCGTCTGCAGTTCATTCTTCACAAAAGTGCCAAATTTCTCCTCCAGTTCCTGAAACATAATAGAACCTTAGACTGAAATCATGAAGCCAAATGTCAAATCCATGTCCTGGGCTACATATCACTGCAGGACAATGATTTTGACCAGAAGTAAAAGTCGTTTGGTACATCTACGGACCACGAATATGGAGTCCAGCTCTGTTTGATGCTGCTGGGTAGACTGGCAACTGGAAACCTCTGAGCTCTGTTGGCTTGAACTGTAGAGACACCATTTTGATTTTAAGTAAATAAAACACCTCACCAGCCATTTTGCTTTTGTCTGGTCATGATTTTAAAAACGCGACCTTTCAGAGATGCAGTCACGTTTTTCTTTGGAAGGTTTTGGATTTTCTCGAAGGCATTTCCACTGTGATGGAATCCAACTGGTTTCATGTTTCTCCAGCTTCACCCTGATCAAAACAAATGTTATTATTTGTACCACTTAACACGGTAAGAGTTTTATCTTGACATGAAATTGGGCAAAGCTGTAGTTCAAGGGAAAATTGTACTATTTTCACAGCAAAACCTTGTTTATTGTTATTGTCAATCGCAGCACATTTTCATTTCTGTTATTACAATTTCTTTTGTCTTTCATTTCCCTTTTACAAGATTTTCCACTTCACACAAACTTCCTTTTTTTTTTGCAAAGCAATAATATTTATATGCAGATAATGATTAAAACCCCAGCCAGCAAGCCTAAGTGGGCCCCATATATGGGCAAACAGGAATTGTCTGTAGTTTTCATGGTGGCCCCACAGGGGTTTGCCCACATAGATTTTAACGGGTTTTCAGAGGGCCCCAGACGGTTTGACACAAACGTGGGATTGTTGAAATCTATATGGGCAAACCCCGTGGGGTCACCATGGAAACCGCAGACAAACCCTGTTGGCACAACTACAGTCTGCCTATATATATCCATACGGGCCACAACTATGCACGCTGGCTGGGGTATTTATTAAAAATGGTTCTCCATCATGCCGAGACTATTCATTTTACATAATTCATGTTCATGAGGGTGACTTCTACTATGCAGCTGAAGACACAAGACACCTATACCACTGTAAAAGATAATCCAACAGAGCGGGGGGGGGGGGGGGGGGGGGTTACCATTTTGAGAATGAAAAGGTAAGGCTTGGTTTATGCTTGACGCATTTACTTTCCGCTTGGTGATGCGGCTCGTGGATGGAACGCGCTTCACAACTTGCAGCGTTTATGGTTCATGCGGCTTGTCTCTGCGGAGAGCCAATATTCTCCCAAACTGTAGGGGGCAGCATGGAGCTCTACGGCATGCATCCAACACTACACCATAGTAGAAGTAAAAATTTCTGTTTACAACATGGCATTCCAGCATTTTTAACAGCGTCCTCGTCTTTTCCGACAGTGCGAGCTATTTCTCTCCAAGAATTATTAACAACATGTTGATCGCAGTGATCTTTGAGAGCTGAATCATACAAATGTCTGTATTTACGAACCTCTGCCGTACTAGTTCTTGCCAGACCGCCATGTTTTTCCGCGTCCGACCGTCCGCGTGGTTAGAAAATTTCCTAGGTGCGGAAAGTTTTGGCCGTGCGGAGGCGCAGGGTTGTTAAAATGACGCAACTTTGCCGCGCCGAGCCGTGCGGACCTCGCGGACGTGTCAAGTATAAACCAAGCTTAAGACAGTCCCCTCTCTCTCCTGCTTACTGAGTTAAAGCAGCTGGTGCTTAAGTCGACTGTTTAACCCGATGGTTTGGTTTGTGCTGGTGTCTCGTATCAGATCATTATTTATTAGTGATGTTTTCAAAGAGTCTATGAACTAGGGCCCGACCGATATATCGGCCGGCCGATATTATCGGCCGATATAGGGGTCATTAACTCTATCGGCCATCGGCCAAAAAGACGGCTGAATGAAGGGTTTAATCTTAAGAACATTTGTATTTATTTTTTTGTGAGGGAGATTTATCGGCTATCGGCCTTTGTTAAAAGTTTTATATCGGTATCGGTATCGGCCCCAAAAAAAAAAAAGCATATCGGTCGGGCCCTACTATGAACTAATCACTGGTGAAGCATGAACAGTTGGTTGTTTTCTTTTAAAATGGATGTAGCGATCAGATGATCTGTGGCTTGTGTGGGATGTGCGGCTGGATTCAGGATCAGCCTCAAAATCACGTTTTTCTAAGACTGATGTATTCTCAGATCTGTAAAGGAAATATCTCATTTTTGTCTTCAACTAGACAAGCTTTGTTGTTAAAAGAACATAATCAAAAATCCATCGAGGCTCATGAGAAAATGAATGTATATTTAAGTTTTAAACTTGTATTTTTCTCTACAACAAATTAAACTTGTGTATTGCTGATGCAGGCGATGCCCATAACTTAAATTCATCGCAAATGAAAGAGGTATGACAATGTAAGATCCAAAAGAAAACCGTATTGTTTACCTCTTTTGTTTCTTAAAGTGAATGTAGCAATCAGATGATCTGTGACTTGCTTGGGACGCTTGGCTGGGTTCAGGATCTGCAGATCTGCCATAGAACCTTAAGCAGAATACACCTTGTTTAGGCTCCACCCAGTCGCATTGCATTAGCATTTTAGTGTTTCATTAATTAAATCTTTTCATACATGATAGTTAAATAATATTCAGTTATATTATCACCTCTTTGCAGACAGTGTTCTGGGATCATCCCTGTGAGAGAAGAAAATGCATGTGTCAGTTGTTACGGTCCACGTTTAAACATCATTCCATAATTATGGAACAGGAAAACAATTAACCAAGGAATTTTTATTTATTAAGCAGTTAGAAATGCTGCTACACTAAAAAGTTTATCTATAGTAAATCATCTGTTTTCAGGACACAATGACTACAACAGACTGAGTGGGACTCGATCCTGCAAACGTCTGGTTACGAGATGGGCACTTGCCTCCTCTGCCATAATTTCAGCATTTTTGGCCTAAATTTGCTTGAGGGAGCTGAGGGAGCTGATGGAGGCTACAAAATCACAGACCGATGGTGACCTGGTTTTGTTGCTACTGGACTTGTGAGTAATAATATTTCTGTCCAATAATGTGAATTGTTTAACTTTGTGGCTTATTTAGCATCAGTTGGTTCATGCTAGCTTTAGCTCATTGTTAGCGCTGCAGCAGGGTTACTTTAGGGAGGCTCTGCTCCTCCGGTGTCAACAGATGAGAAGGAATTCTATGCTAATTTTCCTTATTGTGATGTCACAATAAGGAAACTTTTGAAACAGCTCATAGAAGAAAATATTGCTAAAATCTAACACTGCCTGAAAACGGATGGACAGATTTATTCACATTTGAAGTGTTTATAGTCAGCACAAAAGGGTAAAAAAAACAAGATCAGCAAAAGCTTTTCCTTTAAACTCGGAATGGTTTTACAACTGCCTCTCTTCCCTCTAAGAGGTGATTTTATGGCAAGTCTGAAGCAGATCTGACAGACGACAAACACGTAACCTCTGTCTTCCCATCTTTGCAAAGGTTTCATGACAAACCCTTGTTAAATATTGTTCATCAAACATTATTTTCCACTCGAACGTACCTTTCTGAAGTCGTACGTCTTTGTTTAAAATCAATGTAGCGATCAGATGACCAACAACTCTTAAAGGACACGCAGCTTGGTTCAAGTTGCTCTTCAGCAGCAGATCCAGAATAAACGAGGCTCCTGCAGATTGTTTTTGACGAAAAATAAAATTCACTTTACTCTTCAGCGTGAAACTATCAAATGATCTCAGACCTAAATACATTACTATTATACACAAAGACATAACAGTTGAGCGTAGTCGTTATTTACATAGCCCCTTCTGGAGTTCCACAACCCCCCAAGGCGCTTTAAAACACACCATTCACACACACGGATTACCTGTTTGTAGCAGAAAGATGTTCAAACCTGTCTGTCTGTCCAGGCTTCCAGAAGCCATCAGGAACATCCTCTTCCCTGTTCTCACAATGATCCATGGTGCTGAGCTCACAACATCATCTACCACACACGTTCTAGATTCTTCTGCAGAGGGAAAACACTATGAAAGTGCTGTGAAAAATAATTTCTCCAGTTACTGTCTTCTCCTTTTTGGTCATGCAGTGACTGATAACTTTGCTCTAGGTGTGTCTATGAGTCTGTCTTAAAGGGACTTTACGGAGTTTAGAAATTTTATGCTCGAGATTGCCCCCTCAGGCCAAAAGTGTAACGGCAGCTTCAATAGTAGGCTTGTGCACGAGGCGTGCATGCTGTACGTGCACACTCCTTAACGAAAATAACAGCTGAGACAGTCCCTTGTGTGTGTGTGTGTGTGTGTGTGTGTGTGTGTGTGTGTGTGTGTGTGTGTGTGTGTGTGTGTGTGTGTGTGTGTGTGTGTGTGTGTGTGTGTGTGTGTCTGGCCCGGAGGACAGAGGGCAGGAGAACGCACAGCTAATTAATTAAATAATTTGGTTCTGTACCTTTCTCTTCAGCACAGCCGACAAAGGTTTATGATGGGTCAGTCCTCCTGCATGCTCAGATCATTCCCTTCCCTTGCTTGAAAAATTGTTCCAAAATGAAAGTTGAACCCACATCTTTTTTATCTGTGAATTCAATGCCGTTCGGCGGGTCTCAAATAAAAATTTGGGCATCTTCCTGTAAAAAAATATACCATTAATGTAAAAATTGAAGAATCACAACAGATATGTTTCAATTTCTTTTTCACTTCAAATTTGGCAGTTTTGTTTTCATTTAGATTTTTCAAAGTATACATCTTTGGATCAAAAACTATGTAGTAATTAGATAAGAAAACATTTCCATACTTCTGAATGTAATTTTGTTTTTCATATTTTATTCTGAGGTAAAACATTTGCAACAGCTGGACTGAGGCGGCTGATAAGAATGTTTAGTTTCGAGATTATCCTGCATATCAGGAAGGATGTTGTCATGGGTGATTCTGCAGGTTGAGTGCTTTGCAGTCTTGTTTCTGGTTTTATTGTATTTTTGGTACTTCCTGTTTTATTTTGTGCATTCACTTCCTGTCTCATTACAGGCAGCTTCACGACATGAGGCTCCTCACTAATCTGCCTCATGTCTTGCACCTGGGTCCTGGCTTCTCCATTTAAGCGTCTTTGCAACAGTTTCCTTTGCCAGTTTGTCTTCTTCAGTTGAGTACTGTGAACCTGCTCTCAGTAACACTTTGTGAAAGTGTATTTAGTTAGTTTTGGACTTGTTCAGTTGTGCTGTACTGCCAGGAATCCCTTCTGCTGATTAAAACTGTGTGAGCTCTGCATTTGAGTCCTCTTTGTGCTGTGATAGTACAAACTGGCCAAAAATGGACTCAGCAAGCTCTGACTCAGTTTTGGGGGCTCAGGGGAAGAGGCTCCTCCAACAGGAACAACAGATGAGTCTACTGCACCAGGAGATGGGGCAACTCAATGCTCGACATGATCAGTTTGCTACCTCTGTCAGTGATCAACTCAGTTACCTGGTGGAGAAGGTGCAGCAGCTCCAGACCTCTTCAACCCAGCCTCCAGAGAAGAACCACATGCCGCAGCCCCAGAGTAACGAGGTGGAGGTGACTCCTGGAATATTCTCTGCATCCCCTGGCCTATCTGTTCATCTTGCTCGTCCTGAGAGGTTTTCTGGGGACTCTGGTGATTGTCAAGCATTTTTGACACAGTGTAGCCTCCACTTTGAACTGCAGACCTTCTCTTTCCCCACGGAGAGAGCCAAGATTGCTTTTCTCATCTCCCACCTTTCGGGCAGGGCCGAGGCTTGGGCCACGAGCGAGTGGGAGCGCGACGCGGACATTTGTAAGTCATTTGATCTTTTTACTAAGCGTTTCACTCAAATTTTTCAGCACACCAGGCCTGGGAGGGAGGCTGCCAGAGCTCTATGTCAGCTGCAGCAGAAGAGGAGACGTGTCGCTGATTATGCTATTGAATTTCGTACTTTGGCTGCTGCATGTGACTGGAATCAATCAGCACTTTTTGATGCCTTTTTGAGTGGTCTTTCCAGTGAACTCAAGGATCTGTTAGCCCCTCTGGATCTGCCGGAGGATTTGGACTCTCATCGCTCTGGCGATCAAGATTGACAAGAGGCTCACAGACCGACAACGAGAGAGAGGTTTCGACTTCCCTTCTCCTCCGGACCGGTGGAGGCGGGGCGCTGCTAATGGTGGCTCCAGTTGGCGTGCGTCAGCCCCTGACTCTTCTCTCAACGTGTCCTCAGCTTCACCAGCTTCATCAGAGGAGCCCATGGTGACTAGCAGAGCCCACCTTCCACCTGAGGAACGTCAACGCCGCTTTCGGGAGGGTCTCTGCCTGTATTGTGGCCAGCCGGGTCACCAAGTCAGCGACTGTCCAGTAAACAAGAAGGGACCTCTAAGGAGGTTTTCGTTGGTGAGTTGCACCTCCTTTTCTAATGACATCCAACGTGCAAGCCCCACTGTCCAGCTCTCCACTCCTGAAAAGACTGTTGAGCTGGTGGTGCTCATTGACTCTGGTGCAGATGTTAACTTGATGGATGCTCAATTTGCAAGACAATTGAATTTAGAGTTTTTGCCTCTTGAAAGGCCCCTGCAGGCTGTCGCCTTGAATGGACATCCGTTGTGCTCTGTGTCTAGTCGAACCCCACCTGTTAAAGTGACTTTCGCTGATAACCATTCTGAAATGATTACGTTTTTCCTGTCTGATTTTCCTCGACACCCGGTCATTTTGGGTCATCCCTGGCTTGTTCGGCATAACCCTAACGTAGATTGGTCCTCTGGTTCAATTTTATCTTGGAACTGCGATTGTTTACAGTCTACTCCTGGTAGTACCCCTCCTTCTCAGGTTGTAGGGGTTCTACCAGGCTGTGATTCTGATTTCCCTGATCTGTCTCGGGTTCCCTCTTGTTACCATGACCTTAAGGAGGTTTTTAGCAAGTCACGGGCTGCCTCTTTGCCCCCGCATCGTCCGTATGACTGTGCCATTGACTTGCTACCGGGGATCACGCCCCCTAAGGGTCGCCTGTACCCGTTGTCCTTACCTGAAAGGCAGGTCATGAGGGATTACATTGACACAGCGCTCCGGGCAGGCATAATCCGTGAATCTTCGTCCCCTGCTGGGGCAGGTTTTTTCTTTGTGACCAAGAAGGACAACACTTTACGTCCGTGTATCGATTACCGGGGTCTCAATGACATCACCATCAAGAACAGGTACCCCCTCCCTCTGGTCTCCTCGGCTTTTGAACTCTTACAAGGTGCTACAGTTTTTACTAAGTTGGATTTGAGGAATGCTTATCACCTTGTGAGAGTGAGGGAGGGGGATGAATGGAAGACTGCCTTTAATACGCCCAGTGGGCATTATGAGTACCTAGTGATGCCTTTTGGTCTCTCTAATGCTTCCGCGGTTTTTCAGGCTCTGATTAATGATGTACTTCGTGACATGCTCAATGATTTTGTTTTTGTGTACCTAGATGATATCCTGATTTTCTCCCCTGATATGCAGTCCCATATCCAGCATGTGCGGAGGGTTCTTCAACGCCTCCTCCAACACCAGCTCTATGTGAAGGCAGAGAAGTGTGCCTTCCACGAGTCTTCTGTTCATTTTCTTGGGCTTGTTGTGAGGCAGGGGGAGATCCAGATGGATCCGACAAAGGTGGAGGCGGTCAAGAACTGGCCGGTCCCTACCTCGAGGAGAGAGGTGCAGAGGTTTTTAGGTTTCGCAAACTTTTACCGGCGGTTTATTAGGGGTTTCAGTAGCGTTGCCGCCCCTTTGCACGCTCTGACCTCCCCAAAAGTCAGGTTTCAGTGGTCCTCTCAGGCAGACAAGGCTTTTCTGAGTCTTAAGGACAGTTTCACTTCTGCTCCGATTCTGGTAATGCCAGATGCCCGGTTCCAGTTCATTGTTGAGGTGGATGCCTCCGAGGGGGGAGTGGGGGCTGTTCTCTCTCAGCGCTCCGAGGTGGATCACCGCGTTCATCCCTGTGCATTCCTGTCACGCAAGCTGTCTGCCGCTGAGAGGAACTACGACATTGGGGATCGTGAGCTATTGGCCATTAAAGTGGCCTTGGAGGAGTGGCGCCACTGGCTCGAGGGGTCCAAGCTGCCATTCATCGTGTGGACCGACCACAAAAATTTAGAGTACCTGAGACGGGCCAAGAGGTTGAATCCTCGTCAAGCCAGGTGGGCCTTGTTTTTTATACGTTTTAACTTCACTGTGTCTTATCGACCCGGTTCGAAGAATGTGAAGCCTGATGCTATGTCCCGCCTGCCTAACACAGTTTCCTCTGTTCCTGAGGTCCCAGCACCAGTCCTCCCCTTGTCTTGTGTGGTTGGAGCAGTGACCTGGTCTGTGGAGGAGCAGGTAAAGCAGGCAGCTGCTTCGGTTCAGGCCCCTGATGGTTGTCCTGCAAACCGGCTTTTTGTTCCCCCTACCCAGAGGTCTCAGGTTATTCACTGGGCCCATGCTTCCCGTTTTTCGTGCCATCCGGGGGTCAAGAGAACAATGTTTGTAATTCAGCAACGGTTCTGGTGGCCATCTATGAGACATGATGTTGCTGAGTATGTGGCAGCCTGTCCAGTATGTGCTCGACACAAGACCTCCCACACACGTCCTTCTGGCCTACTTCTCCCTCTCCCCGTTCCCACTCGGCCCTGGTCACACATCTCTCTGGATTTTGTTTCCGGGCTACCTGTTTCTGAAGGTAATACCACTATTCTCACTGTAGTCGACAGGTTTTCTAAGATGGTGCACTTCATTCCCCTTTCTAAGTTACCCACGGCCAAGATGACCGCAGAGGTATTGTTGTCTCAAGTTTTTAGGATCCATGGTTTCCCGGTTGACATTGTTTCGGACCGTGGCCCTCAATTCATTTCCCGTTTTTGGAAGGCCTTTTGTTCCCTGTTGGGGTCTTCTGTCAGTCTCTCTTCAGGTTACCATCCCCAGAGTAACGGGCAGGCTGAGAGGCTAAATCAGGAGCTGGGAACCGGTCTACGCATCCTTGCCGCTGAGTGCCCCTCGACGTGGTGTAAGCACCTAGTGTGGGTGGAGTTTGCCCACAACACCTTGCCAACCGCTTCTACAGGTCTTTCCCCATTTCACTGTGTGTATGGTTATCAACCGCCTCTGTTTCCTGCTCTAGAAGGGGAGGTCAGCGTCCCGTCTGCCCATGCCCTTGTTCGGCGTTGTCGTAGGACCTGGGTTAGGGCGCGTCGCACCCTCCTGAGACAATCTACGACCTACAAGTTGGCTGCTGATCGTCTCAGGGTCCCTGCTCCGGCTTACAGGGTGGGACAGAGGGTGTGGCTGTCTACTCGGGACCTTGCCCTCCGTACGGACTCTCGTAAGTTGTCCCCGAGATTTATTGGGCCATTTCCTGTGTCAAAGGTCGTTAACCCTGTGGCTGTTAGACTCAAGCTCCCCAGGTCCATGAAGTGCCAC